ACAAGGGTGGGACTGGCTGGGTCTGGATCTAGCCCAGTGAGGGGGGAGGTGGCTGGGTCTCGATCTTACACAATTTATTATTATTTTTATTGATTATGGTATCACATAATTGTCCTCATCCCCCCATTTCTATCCCAAACCCCTCCCTACGTATGCCCCCACCTCCCTGTTGTCAATGGCCACTGGTTAGGCTTATATGCATGCACACAAATCCTTTGGTTGATCTCTCCCTCTTACCCCCACCCTCCCCTACCATCCCTCTAAGGTTTGAGAGTCTGATCGCTGCTTCTCTGTCTCTGGGTCTGTTTTTGTTCATCAGTTTATGTTGTTCATTATTTCCTCTAGAAGTGTGAGATCATGTGTGAATCTCACGCAATTTTGAGGTGCATATGGATGGGCAGGGACTTGACTCTGGGTCCCATGGTGAGCCCCAGACTCTGACAGGAGGAAGGTTTTCATACACATTTTACTAATTTTCTTTCATCTCTGACACTTCTATTATAGAGAAAGGGCAAATAGCAATATTAAATTATTTCCTCTAATTAATCCCCCTTTAATGTGCACAAATTTTGATCACGGGTCACTAGTGTAATAATAATAGAAAATAAAGTATTTTAAAAATCACATGATATATCATTGGCTTATTGTGGTTACTATACATTTTAACTCACAAAATTTGGAAAATTAAATGATAGATGATAGTGGACTCTGAGTGTCTATGAAAACAGTTTTAGGTTGACAGTACACTTGGAAGGAAGAGCTAGAATTGGCTTTGACATTATGTTTGCATAACAAGCCCACTGTTTCTGACATTATGATTGCATAGCAAGCCCAGACTGCATGCTTATCAGAGATGACTTTGATGCTAATGAAAAAACAGGCCTCCTCTTAAAGCCTCATTTGCATAGCAAGCCCAATAAAGATCATTACTTAACCATATGCTTGTTGGGGACTTTAGGATATTGTTAGAGACAGTGGTAGGGCTGCAATTCAATTTTGTCACCACTGTAGATACATTCTGTCCAAACATATTTAGGGTTTCTGTTTTAAGTTTAATTTGCTTAAAATATAGTGTTAAGATTAGACCTGTGAAGAATTCAAATGTTGCCAGTTTCACTCACCACTAATTCCTAGACTTGGAACGATTTCCCTCTTTGCAGAAACAAGGTGTTTGAAAAAGTAGTTGAGAATTGCAAATGTGCTGTGATTTCTTTCCTAAGACACAAGATGTTTACAAGCTCTGTGATGTTTGCTCACTTTAAGTTTGGTTGCTTGAACAAGGCAAGGCTTTTTTAACTCTGTGCTAAAGAGACAGTAAAAATTGTAAAAATTATAGTATTTTTCATATTTATATGAATGGCACTATTGACATGTTAAATGGATAGTAATGTTTACCAGGGAATAAGTTTAGATCTTGTCTCAGGTAGAATACTTGTGTGATTTGATTTGAGGTCAATCTGTTCCCAAAAATCTCTTCATTTGGTTATCCCTAAGATATCTCACATCTTTGGGGAAAATCCTAAAATGAAAATGCAATTTGGAGAAGTGATAGTGTCTACACTAATTCTGCAGATTCAGATTTATGAGGCTTGACTACCTGTGACTATCCTGGGAACTACATTTACATTTAACTTGATGGATTTATCAATTAAGCTTTGTATAGATAAGATTGTCTATCCTCCAGTACTTATAATATGGTATTGAATTTATTCATTTATTCAACCAATAATATTAATTAATCAATTATTACTCTCTGTAAAAGTGGAAGATCTAAAGACAAACACTAGAATATATTTGCATATTTTTTACACTAAACATAAGCTGTTACAACTTTTATTGATCACTTCTCTTGATCTCTGTGTAAATATAATTGCTCACCAAGCGCCTTCATTTTTAGAGTAAGAAACCTTCTGAGACATTTGCGTAGAACGTGGTGGGAGTAGCTGAGAGACTCATGTCTTTGGGTTCCCACAGAGTTTATAGAGGAAGCAATGCAGGAAAGAGGGACGGAACACCTTGTCAGGCATTTGCTATAACCTAGGGACTGTATTTGGTGCTTTCTCTCATTATTATTATCTTTTTAATTTTTTTAAAAAATTATAATTTATTTCAGAGAGGAAGGGAGAGAGGGAGAAAGAAACATTAATGATGCGAGAGAATTATTGATTGCCTGCCTCCTGTACACCCCACACTGGGGATTGAACCTGCAACCTGGGCATGTGCCCTAACCAGTAATAGAACCATGACCTCCTGGTTCATAGGTCGATGCTCAAACACTGAGCCACACCGGCTGGGCTCTTTTATTATTTTGATAGTAATGGGCCCTATGTAATATGGTCCATATGTTCTCCGAGGCTGACATGTTTGAGATTATTTAGGTCCTTGGACATCTTTCTTAGATTGAGATTCTCATATTATGACACTTTTCTTTGGGTTTCCATGAAAGCAAGGCATGAGACAAGCCTTTGGTGCAGGCAGTTTATTGAGCAGATGAGCCCAGTACAGATTTGAAGGAGTGAGAAGAGTGAAAGACAGCATGAGGATATAGTATCAAGGGCATTGCTGTAGGCAACAAGGGCTCTCTTCTGCTGAGACTTGATGAGACATGCCCAGATGCTACTGAGGGTAGGAGGCTGGATGTACATTCAGTGGCTCCTGCACATCATTGTCGAAGGATCCTGGAGGGTGTCAGCTCTCCTGAGGTGTCTGTGTTGGTCTGAATGGGCATCTGCAGCATCAGAGAAGACACTGAACAGAAAGACATGCAGATTATGTTTGAGGTGCTATCCAATGAGAGGGTTTAGTCTGAGCTTTCTCGTACTGTCTACTGTAGACGTCCTAAAACCAGAGGGCCCTGTGATACAGGGTACCTAAGGATTCTGCTCTACTGGTTCACTCTGGTTCATTCATCACTCCTTTTGTCCATCTAGCCATCCATTCATCTATCTATTCAATCAAATGCACTTGTTTAGCACCCATTCTAACTCGGGCCATGCGTTAATCCCCATGGACGCAATGAGAAAGCAAAACATAACCCTTACCTTTAAGAAGCTTATATTTTATTGAGGAAACAAGAGCTAATAAAAATTAACAAGAGTCAGTAGAAGATTATATAAGAACAACACACAGGGCCACTTAAATTAGTCTTGAAAAGAGTAAAGAACCTTCTTCTTTCAGGAAGCAAAATTTAAGTTGATTCGAAAGCCCTGGAAGGTAGGGAATTAGACCTTACTATGATTGGCCTTGTGGTGGTCAATGAAAGCTAGCTGAGTAGGTTGAAATTCTGACAGTTTTACCTATTAAAATGTAGTCTTTAGCAATTTCTACCAAATGATTCAGTAAGTACTAGAATTAGTTTTCTGCCACAGTATGAATATTTGGCAGTGAAATTATTGGTTAAGATGCCATTACTATTCAAGGGCCATCTTTTCTCAATTGCCATTTTATTTTTCTGAATCTACACACATTTTTGCTGATAAAACAAAAATAATGTAAATAAAATCACCTGAGTTGTTGATTGTTGAACTAGTAGGCAGCTTAGAAGTAAACAAATGCCAAAGAGAAACCCTTTAAAGAGGCAGGAATTAATTAGGGGCTGCAAACAGTCTGTAACAGGCTTCCTGCTGTGTGAGTAGGTTTGCCAGAGTTGGGGTTTATACCAGAAACAGTTTAGGCTGCTGATGTCGTGTTCCAGAATGCCCAGGTGTACTCTCCACAGTGCAGTGTCACGTGGAGCCTGCTTAGCATTGCCGGCTGCTGAGAGCAGTTTAAGCTTGCATGGGAGGTGTCACTTTCTGCCTACTGTGGGGAATTCTTCCCAAATGGTCCTTGGTTGGCATCTTGCCCAGCTAAAATCGATGTAGTGTAGTCCTTTTAATCTGGGCATGGGATCAGAACAGCAGGAGTGTAATTCTCACGTGGCAGAGAAAGATGGACGTGAGGGGCTGCACAACATTATCTCTACAGTCGCTTACAAATTCTGAAATGGCAGGATTATACTAAAGAGTGAACATTAGTGCTAATGATCTTCCCTCTTGCCTGCCTATGGAGAGAAGATTCCCCAATATGCATGGAGAAATTCATTCATTACTTATGCTACTGTAGATCATATGTTCAAAAATGTGTTGTTTCCACAAGGTGCTAAGCACTCCTGTGAGCTGGCATATGGTGGCGAACAAGAAAGACACAGAAGGTCCATGGAGATTATGTTCTGGTGAGGGAAGACATGAAAGAAACAATCAAATAAATTAGCAAGAAAATGACCAGCCAAAACTGGTTTGGTTCAGTGGATAGAGCATCGGCCTGTGACTGAAGGGTTCGATTCCAGTCTGGTTGCGGGCACATCCTCAGTGGGAGGTTTGCAGGAGGCAGCTCAATGTTTCTCTCTCATCAATGTTTCTAACTCTCTATCTCTCTCAATTCCTCTCTGTAAAAAAAAAATCAATAAAATATATTAAAAAAAGAAAAGAAAAGAAAATGACCAGATGATAAGTCCTATGTAGAGAAGTCAAACAGATGTGATGGGGAGTTCCATGCTGGATTTTCTAAAGGCTGGGAGGTGTGGACAGTTGGAACTAATTAATGGAGCTACTGAACAGTGAGAGGTGTGGGTAGGGGGAGGGATGAAGTCTGGGTGATGATGGATGAGCTGCAGTGGTGACAATGATGTGACTGTGATGGGAGAATCATCTGTTGGGAGAATGTGAGTAATCAGCTGACTCGATGGAGTGATCAACAGGATATAAGAGCAAAGGGACAAACAAAAGGTGCTTTAGGATCAGAAGCACAAGCCTCTGCATGGCACCAAAGTCCTGCGATGTTGCCAGCAGGAAGGGCAGTCCCGCTTGCTGGTAAGAGGCCAGAGATAGAGTGTTGTGTTGGTTGGGACCCAAGTTGCTGCTGCTAACTCTCACTGGGATAACTGGGCGTCAGAATTGAGAGTTCTCTATGTCAGGAGTATGCACGCTCTTCACACTGTCTGTCATCATCCTTTCCTCCAGGGGTCTATTCTCATCGCACTTGCTGCACTTATGACTTCATCCCCTAGGGAGGATTCATGAGCCAAGAGATGCATGATTTTTCCACTCTATATATACACCTGCTGTGAAATGCAGACTGGTAAGCCAATTTTATGTCACCTTGTGTGGTAGAGCAGGAAGCAAAATATGCATATTGTTATTTCAAAAGTATTTGATCAATATCTGAAAGTTTTTCTTTTGGCATATTTCTGTCTAAAAGGCCTGTCCATTTTTTTACCATTTTGTCTGAAATAAATCATCACTTCTATCCTACCCACCCATTCTCTTTTTCTTTATTGTTTTACTTTTTAAGTATTATACTGACTCTTTGATAGGATACCTAACTCATTATTTTTTCATTTTTCCATTAATTCATGAATTTAAGATTGTGAATTTCATATAACTCCAGCTGTATCCCACTAGTTCTGATAAATAATGTGTTGTAAAAATTGCTGTTTAATTCTAAATATTTTTAAAATGTCTTTTATGGTTTAATTTTCAATCACAGATTATTTAATCCTTATGTTTTAAGCTACTCAAATGTATGGGATTTTGTTACTGATATCTAGTTTTACTATAGCATTATGGTCAGAGAATGAGATCTGTATTACTCCAATACTTTGGTGTTTGTTGAGTTTTGCTCAACAAAATTTGATCAATTATTGTAAATGTTCCATGTGTAGTTAAAAAGAATATGTAGTCTTTAATAGTTTGTATATATACTTATTATATTACTTTTGTTAATTGTGATATTCAAATCTTCTATGACTTCAACAATTTTATTCACTTGATTTATAAGCTCCTGAGAGAAGTATATCAAATTCTTATTAGAATTGTATAATTTTCCATTTCCCTTGGAAATTTTTTCTCCTATTTTTGTTTATGTATTTCAAACTATGTTGAGAGGTGCTTACAGGTTCAGGATAATGACATTTCTAGTAAATTTCTTTTATCATTATGAAATGTCCCTCCTTTTTCCTGTAATGCTTAAATTTTTTTTTTAAACCTTGTTTTCCCCCCCCTAATATTAAGAAAGCAACCCCTCTTTTAGGAAGTCTTTTGTTACAACATCTTTTTATATAAGTTTAGTTTCTATTTTGGAGAACCTTAAGATTAGGTGTTTCTCTTGTTATTGCATATAGCCGTCAGCCAGGAAGATGGCCCTGATCATAGGCCAGGCCTCGGGACCGTACTGTGCGCTGGGCCTCTAGTGTTTGTCTAATCTTGGCTTCTCTGAGAAGCAGAAGCCAAGGTCGGATTAGGTATGCAAAAGATCAATTGTAGGAAATAAAAGATAAGGAGGGACAGAACAGGGATTGGCAGAGCCTTTGGACCCTCATCTAAGACTGACAACTGTGAAGGGGGAGAAGAAAAGAAGGATCTGATAAGAAGCTTCGACTGCAGGATGGTTCTGGGAATGTTTTGATAAGGAGTTCCTGAGCAAAAGTTACCCATTTAGAGATTGTATGTTGAGTGGCAATGAGTTGACTCTAGTACCCCTGAGACTAGGTAGTCCTCAGAGTGAATGCAATGTGAATCCAGTTCAGTAGCTGAGGGTATTGATCAATTAAACTCTCTCCAACAGAATTTCTTGTAGGGAGATCTACATGGCACACCTCTCCAACAGAATATTTTATAGGGAGATCTACATGGCACACCTGGAAATATTGGGCAAGTGTTCTCAGATCCATTTTCTACATTGCTAATTCTCTCTTTAGTTCTGTTTGATTAGCTGTTTAACCTAACCATGAATGAGTTTCACAGTCAATGATTAAGATTTTTATTTTAGGGGTTATTTTAGTTTTTGTTTTCAAATCTTTCAGGTTTCCCTTTTTTTCAGCAACTTTTTCTAGTAGCTTCTATACCTTTTAAATTTCTTGTATTAGTTTAATTATGCTTATTTTATAATTCATCCTGTCTGCCTCTCACTTATCCTGGGTCCTTCCCTAACATGTGTTTTAACTTGTGATTGCTTCTTCTGCTGGTATTGTTTTTTTCTGAGGGAATCAAGGGCATATGAATTGCTCCTGCTTGATTCTCCAGAGATATTGTGGCTCATGCCATAGTTACTTTAATTCTCAGCCTGGAAATTCTTATATTACTAAGTATGTGAAATTCTTACAGTTCAAGTGGAACTCCAAATGCATCTTTGGAGCAATCTTGGGTATTTGGCTTCTCATGAGATATTTCTTCAGCTTACTCATAAAACAAGCTTCCCTATAATTTCATTGGAAGATGAATTGGGTGTTTCTTCTACTGAGGATGTAGATCTCTTAGGGTGCCAGGTTTATGCAAGTTCTTAGCTTCAATTTCTGCTTCACATAGGCCTAAGTTCTTTTCTTCTGCCCCTGTGTGTGAATGACAATCAAATTTCCTAGCCATCAAGTCCTATTTCTAGGTCCAGCTATTTCCATACTTGTACCATGTCAACTTGCACTCTTACTACTTTGATTTTTAGTTTCACCTTTGTTTCTTGTATTTTGGGAGATCTCTTACTTTCATATGACCTTAGCCATAATTTTAAAAATATATATTTTATTGATTTTTTACAGAGAGAAAGGGAGAGGGATAGAAAGTCAGAAACATAAATGAGAGAGAAACATCGATCAGCTGCCTCCTGCACACCCCCCACTGGGGATGTGCCCGCAACCAAGGTACATACCCTTAACCAGAATCGAACCTGGGACCCTTCAGTCCACAGGCTGACGCTCTATCCACTGAGCCAAACCTGTTTCGACATCCTTAGCCATAATTTAAAAAATGTTTTCATTTGACTTTTCTGAGTCTTTGTAGCATGATAATTTTTACAAGGCTATTCATTCCTCTGAGTTGCTATCCCAGACACTCTCTCTTTAACCTGCCTTATTTGCTTATTAGTCACAGGGTGAATTCAACAGAAGCAGACACTGAGGTAGATTTTGGGTTCCAAGTTGTTTATCAGCAATTAATCTGTGGAAGAAAATAGGGAGCAGGATTGGACACAGGAAGAAGTAAGACTGATGTGGGCCTGATAAAGCCTCTGCCAGCCTTGTGGGAAACTCGGGGTAAAGCTGCTTGTCAAAGTGGCCTGTGTTGAGCCAACATGGCTGGCCCTCTCAATCCTTGCTCCCTTGTTCAGCCGTCAGATGCAAACTTCCTTAGAAAGGGCACGGCCCTGAGAGTGGGTCCTGAAAGCGCGGACAGCTGGAGCTGCCTGCTGACCACACTTCCCCACAGCTGGACAGCACCTTCTTTCTTGAAGGGGTTCTGGAGAGCACAGCTTTCCATCTACCACAAGCTCCCTGCATTTATAATATTAAAGAAAACATCGTTTTCTTTTTCCTTGTGCAAAGAATGTAAGCTCTGTGTCAAAGCTGAGCTTTGTCTGGCAAAAACCGAGAGCTGGTGTGTGTGAGCAGAGAGAAGTTAATTAAGATTAATTGAGCAGGCCTAGACCAGGATGTGTCTTGAAAAGTATGGGGAGAGTTTTGATTGATTAGTTTACGGCTGTCATAACAAATGACCACACACTCAGTAGCTTACAGTAGCACAAATGTATTATCTCATGGTCCTGTAGGTCAGAAGTCTGATTTCTTTGCTCTGAAATCAAGGGGTTGACTGAGCTGAGCTCTTCGCTGGAGGCCTTGGGGGAGAATATGTTCCCTAGTTCCCTTAGGTTGTTAGTAGAATTCACTTTCTTGTGGTCATAGGGCTGAAGTTTGTTTTCTTGCTGAGTATCAGCTGATGCCATCTCTTAGCTCCTTCAGGCCACCACATTCCTTGTCATTTTGACCTTCATCTTTGAACCAGTAACAGTACTAGTAGCTAGAATATTTCTTCTGTGTTTTTAAGAGCTCATGTGATTAGACTGGCCTACTTGGGTAACCCAGGATAATCTCCCTATTCTAACATCTGTAGCCTTAATTATATGTGCAAAGTCTCTTATGTCATACTAGAGGCCCGATGCATAAAATTTATGCAAGAGTAGGCCTTCCTTTCCCTGGCTATTGGTACTGGCTTCCCTCTGGCACCCGGGACCCAGGCTTCCCTCTGGCTGCCTGTAGGCACCTGGGACTCAGGCTTCTCTTGCAGCCCTGGCTTCATCCGAAGGTCATCTGAAAATATGTCTGGAAGGATGTCTGGTCTAATTAGCATATTACACTTTTATTATTATAAATAACACGACATGTCACAGATATATGATGTGGACAACTTTGGGAAGCATTATGCTGCCTATCACTGGTGGGAAACAGAGGCTTCAGGAGAAGGTCCTGAAAGGATACAAGTAGCATTTTAGGAAGATTTTTCAGCAATCAGGTAGAGAATGAATAAATCTTTTAGGTGTCCTCAAACTTTTTAAAGTGGGGGCCAGATCACGGTCCCTCAGAGAGCTGGAGGGCCAGACTATATGAACTACTAATTCCTACTGTAACACCTTGGCTGCGCTCACTGCCCTAAAAACCTGGCGGGCCGGATCAGACTCCTCTGCGGGCCGCATGTGGCCCGCGGGCCGTAGTTTGAAGACCCCTGTAAGAAAGGATGATGTTCTAATAGAACAAGAAACCATGAGGGCAATGACAGTAAGAATCAGAAAGATGTAGACTTCAATTAAGGTATTTAGGAATATCTGACCAGATTTGTTGACAGATGTATGGTGGGTTACATGAGATGCTGTGTTTGAAAGGTGGCGAGTTTGGTGTTGAACATTTGGACTCAGTATTCTCACCCTAATGTGAGGCTGCATCTAAGATTTACCACAATTTCTCTGACACAGAGACAGGATTACATGGACTAGGACACCACAGACACATATTAGTTTTCATTTTTAATACTAAAAACAGTCATTCTAGAAGCTTGGAGGGGTGAACAATAAGGTACCAATTGCCTACTTATCAGATATATCTACTTATAAAATAATTATCTAACTATTAGAGAGTAGTATAAGTAATGAATATCCAAAATAAATCTCTAAATCCTAAATTATGTACCTTTGATTAAAGAATATAGTTTATAATTCTGTGCAATATAAACATCTCCCACAGTGGTTTTTACTGAGGTTGATATTAAAATAAGTTTGTATTCTCTCAGTATGAGTCAGTTGGTGACTGGGGAATTTCCTTT